CCAACTTTTTAAATTAACCAACCAATAACTAGTCCCAATTTCAGTGGGAAAGAGAATCTCTACTGTATTTTTTTTAACTGAAAAAATTATACACATGGTAAAATATTCAAGTGGTACAAAATACCACACAAGGAGGAAAGGTTTCCTTTCTGTATTAATCTGCTGGGGTTCTTATAACAAAATACCACAGACCAGATGGCTTAACCAATAGAAATTTTCTCAGTTCTAGAGGCTAGGAGTCCGAAGATCAGGGTGCCATCAGGATTGGTTTCTGGTGGGACCTCCCTGACTTGTAGAAGGCCACTTTTTCATAGTGGCCACACATACGGATACCAGCCCTATCCGAATAGGGCCTCACCCTTATGACCAACTGCATGTAAACTTAACCTATAGTCTTCACATACAGTCGCATTGTGGGTCAGGGCTTCAACATATGAATTGGGAGGGATGGGGAGGACACAATTCAGTCTGTAACATCTTCCATACTAAATTCCCAGCCCTTCTGGGTTTTTGTTTTTTGTTTTTGTTATGTGATGCTCACATGGAAGCGGAGTCTACATATTCTTCTTGCTTTTTTCCCCAATAACAGAGAGAGATACTCCAAGTCAATGCAGATAGGTCTACTTCATTTTAGTGGCTGTATACTGTTCCACTGAATAAATATACCAAACTTATTTCCTATTGCTGAACAGTTAAAGTTTTTTTTTCCAGTCTTGTTAACAAAATCCTTTAAAGAAAATTCTTAGAAAATGCCTTTATACATTTTGTGTAAGTTTATATATGGGATAAATTTTAGAAGTGGAATTGTTAAGTCAAATGGACTTCATATAAATTATTTTTTAAAGATTTTATTTATTCATGAGAGAGAGGTGGGGGGCGGGGCAGAGACACAGAGGCAGAAACAGGAGTCATGCAGGAAGCCTGATGTGGGACTCAATCCTGGGTCTCCAGGATCATGCCTTGGGCTGAAGGTGGCGCTAAACCATTGAGCCACCTGGGCTGCCCTTCGTATAAATTTTTAACATGTATTGTCACCCTGAACTTTAAAAAATTTGTACCAATTTATATTTCCACCAACAATGTTTAAGAAAGCTTGTTCTTCCCACCTCCTTAGCCTCCCACTCCACAATACCACATGCACATATCTCCAGCACTCTTTGCCATTGAGCTAACAAAAGGATGAAAGTTTCAAATTAGACTCAGAAATCAGAGATCTTAGCTAATTTCAAGTTTCACTAGTTTCAAAGACACCAGTAACCAAGAGGCACAGACAAAACAGGGAGAAGCCCAGGACTCTTTGTGCTGCTTCGCAGGTCTTTCTTCCTGCTTTGAATGCATCTCTGCCCAAGATAATAGATGTGGTTTCTAAATTAGGCATGTGGTCACCTCATTTACACAGAAGGAACCAACTCAGTCATGAAACACAGTCCATTACAAGCTAAGTTATATACCTTACATGATATTTTCCAGTCAGGCACCTCAACTCTACAGATTCCTGCTCTATTTACTATAAAACAGACACAGCCTGGGGCTATCCTGCGAAAGGAATTCTACAGATACGCACTCTCCTACTAGGAAGTACTAGTTTGTTTGCCAGCAAGTTTGTTATTAACCATATTTCTAAGAATCACATGCTTGCTTGCTTTGGACTATTCCTCTTTAAGGGAGATAATGGATTGCAGATCCACTGCTTAACTCCTTCCTTCCTGGTCACTGATAGATGAAAAATGGTATTCTGATTTACACTTTACACTTGGATGTTGAACAGTTGTTCACATGCTTTTAATTGATTTGTATTTTTTTTTCTGCCTTAGGGGAACAGAGACAATAGCAACAAAATACTGAAACCTGGAAACTAGGTGAATCAGTGAGTTACTTTAGCAGATTTGAGAAACAAGAATCCTAAGCAGGCCGTGAAGCAACCTGACTTACACAGCTAAACCCTGCATAAGGCTCAGGAATTGGAAGTGCTAGGCAACTCTTGAGCATGATGTTAGCCCAAAACAGGAGGAATGATAGAAAGTTTAAAGATCTTTTTAAATTTTCATTTAAAATCAATTAGTTAAATAAAATGTATTGTTTCAGAGGTAGAGGTCAGTGATTCATTTGTCTCATATAACACCCAGTGCTCATTATATCACGTGCCCTCCTTAATGCCCATCACCCGGTTATCCCATCCCCCCACTCCTCTCCCCTCCAGCAACTGTTTCCTATGATTAAGAGTCTCCTATGATTTGTCTCCCTCTCTGATTTCGTCTTATTTTTTCCTCTCTTCCCCTATGATTCTGTTAGAAAGTTTAAGAATCAGATGCTCAGAATCCCTTCTCCAATCCAACAGAAGCCCAGAGATTTAGTATCAGAGGAGGGCAAAACAAAAGATCTCTGGATAGAAGGCTATCAGGCCCAGTTAAGGCTAAAGGTATGATGTTGAAAGAAATTATAATTAGAGGACCAACCAAATAGTCCAAGTCAATGAGACTGGAACCCTGTTCTGACCCTACATCCAGTGCTGTTTGTATTCTTTCAGCTTAGTGGTATATGATTCATAGTAACTGTAAAATGACATTTTGTAAGCTTTCTAGTATATTGGGTATAGTCAAAGGGACTTTTTTCAGGTGATTAAGGAGTGGGGCTAACGCTACCCCTCCCCTAAGCAATCATACCAAAATGGTTGGTAGAACTAAAGAATTAGGGTAGGGTTGAAACAAAACCAAAAAGGGGCACCCGAGGGGCTCTGTCCATTAAATATCTGACTCTTGATTTCAATTTAGGTCATGATCTCAGGGTCCTGAGATTGAGCCCCACCTCTGCTGGCTCCCAGCATGGCTAGGGGAGTCTGCTTGAAATTCCCTCCCTCTCCCCACTCAAGGGTGTGTGCTCTCAAATAAATCTTTAAAAAATGATTAAGTCATAGAAACTATGCAGTGAGATGCCCCTACAGCTCAATAATCATATTGTCTTAAGCTTTATATAAAGGGCTAATGCTGTAATTGCTCAAGGCTCTAATTGGCTAAGGCACCACCGCAGGGAAGCACCCCATAACAAGCAGATATACAGATACAAAATCAACTTTGGAAGAAAAAAAAAATAACTTTCGGGTCCTCTATGGAGTTTGGAGCAGTCTCACCATCATGCCTTGGTGGAGAAACTATTAGAAGCTTCCCTCCTAGGTGGGATGTTTCTATCCAAGTCAGCCTGGGTCTGAGTAGTAGTCTCGCATATCGAGTCTAACATCGGGCTTTTCAGAAGCTTACGTTGACTACCCATGCTTCACTGTTACTCAGCATGACTAGCCAATTGAATCAGAATCTCAAGTTAGTGTCTCGTTATCATCATTTTTTTAAAGGTACAAATAATTTTTTTTAAGATTTATTTATTTATTTATGAGAGACAGAGGGAGAGAGGCAGAGGCACAGGCAGAGAGAGAAGCAGGCTCCATGCAGGGAGCCCGACGCGGGACTCAATCCCAGGTCTCCAGGATCACACCCTGGGCCAAAGGCAGGCGCTAGACGGCCAAGCCACCCAGGGATCCCCTCGTTATCATCAATTTTAAAGTTTTACAGGTGATTCAACTTCAGGTAATTGAGTGGAGAGTCCTTGTCCTCCTAGCAAGGCATTTTCCTACTAGTTACAGTGTTTCAACTTAAAAATGTACTAAAACACGACCGACAAGGGACCTATAGGTATTAAGTGATAAAGATGCGTAATACAAATGATGAGAAAAAATGAGTAAAACAATCCGCCTGGGACGTGTGTGGGAGGAATGGATAAGTGAAACAAGAGAAAGTAAAAACAAATCTGGAATTGTTTTGGATTACTGTGTGCAGCTACTTGAGTATCATATTTAAATCTCCGAGCCTAAGGGGAGGAGGGGGTGAAAGAACCCTGGAGTGGCCATACAGGGGTGACTTCCCATCCGAATCCTGAAGGCTCTGTCTGGACCTAGTTATTTTAGGTTAAGAAGTAAAGGGTGTAGGGGAAAACAGTCCTCGTCCCAAATCTGTCCAAACTAGCTGTGCATCCTCAGGTAAGTCTCCTTCTGGACCAGAGATTCCAAACGTCTAGAATGAGGACGGGACTGGCAACCCGCAATGTCTCCCTGCTAGTCTAGGCTACCTGCATCGATAGACAAGGGGTCACACGTCTTTCTTCTGAAAAGGCCCCAGACGATCCGTAGCCGTCCTGGGACTGCGAACCATCCTCCTTGTCCTTGTTTTCTCCTCGGCTTCCTTAGCCCAGGGGGACGCGCTGCGCACAAAGCATCATCTTCTAAACGCCTCGTCAGCCCCAACCCGGCGCTGGGCCCCGGCGCGCCACCCTGAGTGACTTCTCCGAGCCCCCTCCGCCGCCTCGGGACGCTCTCCGCTCCCGCCCTCCGAGCCCGGCTCGCCGCTCGCTCGACTCCCTCGACCATCTCCGCAGCCTGGGCCCGCCCCCTCCGCCTGGCGCCAGGCCGCGGAGCGCCGATCCGCTCGATGAGCGGGGGCGCTGCGGCGGCGGAGCGGCAGACGCCGGGTCCGCGCCCACTGTGTCCCCCTCCCCGCCTTCTTCCTGCGCTTCCCACTCCTTCCCCCGCCCTCGCAGCGCTGCCGGCCCGGCGGAGCGGCCCGGACCTCCCCGGGAGGCTCAGGTACCGGCGCCCGCGCCCGCCGCCGCGGCGGGAGGGGCTGATGTGAGGAGGAAGGAAACGGAGACGACGCCCCTGTTCCGCCGCCTCCCAACGTCCGCCTGGCTGCGGGGCCGGCCTGGGGGGGGGTCGGGGAGGGCCCCCCGCCTGGGGAAAGGCGGGCTTCGGGCGGGGCGTGGTGGAGAAGGACGACCGGGCCTGGGGTGTGCGGATGGGGGCGGCTGCGGGGGAGATGGGAGAGGAGGCGGAGGGCGTGGGGCGGGCTGGAGGAGAGCGGGAGGCCGCCTGGAATGTGAGTGGGTTCCGGGGGCGGCGAGGACGGAGTTAGCGGGCGGCGGGGGGCGGGGGGCGGGGGGCGCGGTGAACCGGGCTACTTGCTGGAGGCGGTGGGTTGGTTTGCTTGCTTCAAGTCGCGGGAGAAAGAGCGCCCACGTACTGCGTTGATAAGGGCCGGAAGGCGGCGTGCGTCTCCGTAGTGTGACAGCGGTGTGGATGACCTCTCCTGGCCGGGCCCATCCGAGTCGCGTGTTTCTGTGAACCTGCACCAACCGGGACTGTTGATGGAGGCCGGGAAGAGGGAACTCGGTGCCCAGATTCAAGCTTTTCGTGAGACCAATACATAGGGGTTTTTCTTTTCTGTGTAAAGCAGGAAAGAAGCCAACATTCATCAAACAACAGGTTAGAAGTGTATTACATGTAAAGACAGTGAATAGGGAACTTACTGCCTCTATATGCATTACTGCATTTCTATATGGAATTGTAGAAGATGATGGTGACATAAGAAGCCTATGGTGATGTGACATTTTTTAAGCGAGCTGTATATTACTGTTCGACTCTCGGTGTTGACATATATCGTGGAAGCTCTCTTACTTACTTATGTACCTATACACAATTCCCCGAACTTATGTGTATTTTTTTGCAGGAGAAATTCTAGGTAGAAATATATTCCTAATTTCTGAGCACTATTTCTACTAGTTGTTTGGCACAAATCATCAGTTGCCCTGTGCTTCATGAAGTATAGTTAATCTTGCCTGATGCTTTGCTGATGGACTTTCTGTCAGACGCTGGTCTCTTGCCTTCATGATCCTTGGATTAGAGGACCTGACTGGGGTTTCCTCATCATTAAACTTGTAGCTTTACTGTGTATTTCATAAAGTAAGTCTGCAATTTTTTCGCCTTAGTTATGAAAGCAGCCCGTTTGTTGGGTTTAAAATAATAACGTGGGTATAATTAAAAGAAAAACGCAGATTTTTCAGTTGTTTCCATTGTCATCTGTTTTTTTCCCTGCATTCTGTAACATTTCTGTGTTATTATTGAATTATTCTGAAATCAAAGTGTAGGAAATAAAATGGGCCAGATGTACGTGACAGAAATATTGTGGAATAAAGAACTCTAGAGCTGTTACTGAGGTAGCAAGATTTGATTTTTGTTACAAGTGGTTAAGTCTTTTGTTTAGAAGCATTTCTTATCAAAGAAGACTGTGTCGTCAATTTGTTTCGATAGGAAACCAACTTAATTACTTTTATTTGGTTTATGAGACTAGACTCTGGGCCAGTATATAATATTAGCCAGCAAACTGATGTCTAATTATACTTAAAGATCTTAAAGAGTTGTTTCTTCTCATGAAAAGGAAAAGAAGGCTTCTGGTTTGTAATAAGGAAGTAGTCTTTCTAGAACAGAACCTGAAAGGCAATTAGTTGAATAAATATTAAAACTGATCGTGCATAGCCATTGATTAATTTGAGCCTGTGTTTCTGCTGTTTCAATCAGTAGTGTTACTTATCTTTATTAGGGCTTAGTTCTCTCTTAGTTTCTTAGTGCCTACTTTAAAGGAGTGTCATAAAAACTAAAAGAAAATACATGTAAATCCCTGAGCACAGCGCCTACCACATAGTAAAAGATTCAGTACCTTAGCTATTCGCATTTTTCATCTATCTTCTACTCCAAGATTCTGAAAACTAAATTTGCATGTCAGCTTTTTCTCAAGAAAATTTGAATAAACTGCATAGTCAAGCATTTTCCTGGAAAATCACAATGCATATTAGCGTATAACAAGCTGAGACTTTCTCTAGCAAAAAAATAAAACTAAAAAGCCTGTCTCTGTTTAACCCACTACTTACTTTATCCTTTTCTTGGAGTCTGGTGCTGTGCTTTAGTATAGGATGTTATAACTTACACAATATTTTTATGTATTACCTGATTTGACCATCCAAACTTCACGTGGATACCTAGAAATCACTATTTTACAGATGAAGAAACTGAATGATTGTTTAATCGACTAAAAAATATGAAAAGACAGGAGTGTTCTGCTGTCTGTTAATTCCAGGTTAAAAATTTTAAAGCATTTAATGTCTCATTTTCTCCTAATTTCTCCCCTCTCTTAAGCAATCCGCTCTTGAATTTTGTAAAAACTTTTCGCTAGTTTCCCCTACATGTTCTCTTTTAAAAGTTACACCTACTTTTCTCATAGTTTTAACTATTTTTTAATGTATTGAGGCCTGGCATGGAGGACAGGATCACGTGGAATGAAGCAAAGGGGGAAGGCGGGTAGTTTGAAGTCAGAGAAGTGAAGGAGGCTCCATTGTACAAGGCCTTGAACACTATTTAAGTAATTTATCTTGTGCCCTCAAAATCTTGAATCAGATGGAATTTATTTTCTCTTCAAGGTGGCGAATACTTATTCTGCTGGGAAACAGAAGAGTACTTCTTGAGTAAAAAGTATGCCTCCCAAGTTCAAGCGCCACCTAAATGATGATGATGTCACTGGTTCTGTGAAAAGTGAAAGGGTGAGTTTAGAATCTTAATTTCTCAAACAGATTCAAATAAGTTTTTATTCCTTTTTCCAGTCATTCAAAGTGAATTTTATACAAGTACAGAGCATCTTATTCAGAACTCTGGAACAGAATATGACTGGAATTCAGAGTTTTTCAGATTTTAGAAAGATAGTTAAGTGCATATTATATAATAGCCTTTTTGCATCTGGAGCAGCACCTCCAAAAATATTAGTATTTCTCGGAGAAATGTTTGATTACTGGGGGCCTGTGTGACGCAGTTCCGCATTGGGCTCTTGGTTTCGGCTCAGGTCATGATTATCAGGACTATGAGATCAAGCTCTGAGTCAGTCTCTGCATTGGGTGTAGAGCCTGCTTAAGTTTCTCTCTTTCCTCCTCCTCTCCCCATCTCTCCATGCTAAAAAAATAAATGAAAGAAAGAAATGTCTCATTGCTTTAAGTGTATAAGTAAAGCATATAAATAAATTAGCTAGCATCAATTCAGGTCAGGTTTTCCTACAAATAAGTTTTGGCTTCAAACTTACGAAACCTTGATTTTCAGAACTTTTTAGATTTTTGGAATTTCAGATAAAGGATTTTAGTTCTATAATTGTCTCAGAGTCTAGAGTGTTTTTTATATAGTGTTCAATTTCTGATTTATCCCAGAACATTCTATGGAGATATGTGTACATCTAGAAGTTTTGCAGAATCTTCAAAAGATAGCATTTGAAAGGAATGTGGTAGATAGGTTACTTTTAAAATAAGTACTCAAGAAATATTTATTGAGGAAAGGAATTAGTGTTTTTCTTTTTTATCCAGCAACCTGAAGCCCTCACTCACTTCTTATCTTATTACTGTTCCTTCATTTACTGATTCATTTATTGACCACCTGCCATTGTGCTAAAAAACTGGAGGGCATAGTCTGCTTGACTTCATTTTACACATTCCTGTTTTGTACAAGCTCTGAATCTCATTATTCACTCTTTCCAACATCTTATGATGTAAAAGTATCTTTTAGTACAATATGGGAAACATTTGTGTTTTCATTATTTTTTTTTTTAAGATTTTATTTATTCATGAGAGACACAGAGAGAGAGGCAGAGAGAGAGGCAGTGGGAGAATCAGGCATCCCGTGGAGAGCCCAATCTAGAACTTGATCCCAGGACCCTGGGATCACAACCTGAGCCAAAAGCAGAGGCTCAGCCACTGAGCTACCCAGGCATCCCTGTCTTTTCCTTATTCTAACTCTCTTTGTAGTTTGTTTTTTACTTAAAGGGTTAGAATTCACCAATAGACAATTGCTAGGAAGCTTTTCAAAATAAGTTTTCTGTATATGCTTAAAATTATAAAATATAGTCTCAATTCCACTGCTAAGACTATAACTATGGCACTTTCTTTTTATGTTGTTGGTTGGTTACCACCACAATTTATTGTAAAAATAGGATATTGAACCAGAATTGAATAAAACTGGCTATTTAAATAGAGATCTCTTTTTGAATGTGTATTAGATGGTGAAATTTGATAACTGATTCTAATAATTTGTGAATTACTTTTAAAAACTTTAAAGTGTAGTTCTACTTTTCTTTAGTAACAGCTTTATTGAGCTGTAATTCACATGCCATACAATTAACTTTTAAGTGTACAATTCAGTGGTTTTTAGTGTATCTGAAGAATTGTGCAACTATCACCGCAGTCAACTTTAGAACATTTTCATCATTGTAAAAAAGAAATCCAGGATCCCTGGGTGGCGCAGCGGTTTGGCGCCTGCCTTTGGCTCAGGGCGCGATCCTGGAGACGCAGGATCGAATCCCACGTCGGGCTCCCGGTGCATGGAGCCTGCTTCTCCCTCTGCCTGTGTCTCTGCCTCTCTCTCTCTCTCTGTGTGCCTATCATAAATTAAATAAAATAAAAATTATTTGAAAAAAAAAAAAAGAAATCCTGTATCTTTTAGCATTTGTCCTCCATTCTTCTCATCCTCTCAACTCTAGACAACCACCAGTCTATAGATTTGTCTACTCTGGGTATTTTATATAAATGGAATCCTACAATCTGTTGTCTCTGTAATTGGCTTTTTGGATTTAAATCATGTTTTTGAAGTTCATCCATGTTGTAACATGTGCCGGTATCCCATTCCTTTTTACTGCTGAATAATATTAAAGTAAATGGATATATCACATCCATTCATCATTGTTGGACATTCGGGTTTTTTGGGAATATTAATGATTTTTTTCATACTACTTCTGGCTGTTGGCTTTTTGGCTATTTGATGTAAGAAGAACAGTGCTGTTGGGGTGCCTGGGTGGCACAGTTAGGCAGCCACCTCTTGGTTTTGGCTCAGGTGGTGAGATCAAGCCTTCCCGTCGGCCTCCACACTCAGCATGAAATCTGCTAAAGACTTTTTCTCCCTCTCATTCTGCCCCTTCCCTCTCCCCACATACATGCACAGTGCTTTTTCTCTCTAAAATAAATAAATCTTAATAAAATAAAATAAAATAAATACAATACAATAAAATAAAATAAAATAAAATAAAATAAAATAAATCTTAAAAGAAAAAATAGCAGTGCTGGAGCACCTGGGTGGCTTAGTCAAGTGAGCATCTGACTCTTGATTTCAGCTCAGGTCATGATCCTAGAGTCGTGAGATTGAGTGCCACATTGGGCTCCACATGAGTTTGGGGTCTGCTTGAGATTCTCTCTTCCTCTCCCTCTGCCCTGTTCTCCCCTGACTGCCCCCCAACACTTGTGTTCTCTCTCAAATAAATAAATCTTTAAAAAAAATAGCAGTGCTGTGAACATTCAAATGCAAGTTTTGAACATGCTTCCATTTCTCTTGTTCGAACACCTAGGAGTGGGATTGCTGGGTTAGTTATGATCAATCTCTAGAAGAATTGCCAGATTGTTTTCTAAAGTGCCTGCATAATCTTTGCATTCCCACCAGCAGTGTATATGGATTCCATTTTCTCCACATTTCTCCTACCAACGAGTTGCTCCTCATCACCAATTTCTCATCAAATTGATTATTTAAAAAAATTTTTTTTGATTATTTAATGCCTTTGTCCCCAAATCCATCTTTGTATTAATAATGCTAACCCTAACATTCTTTTCGTTAGAATTTGCTGATGTATTTTTTCCACCTCTTTTTTTCATACTTTGACATTCATTTAGGTGAATTTTTTATAAACAGGTATTTGCTGGAATTCTTGGACTCTAATCATGTGTAGTTTTTAGTTTTAATAGGAGCATTCAAACCATCACATTTGTTATGATAACAAACATATTTGGGCTTTTTCTGTATTAGCAGTCCCTCTGCTGGCCATGAATGCCTTTTCCCCTGAACATTGGTTGGCCCTTTGCTATCATTTGGATCTCAGCTTAAGTGTCACTTCTTGAGAGTGATTTTCCATGACAACCTAATCTCATTTAGTCACCCTGTCACTTTCTCTCCTGTCACTGTTTCAGTTCTCTGCATAGTATTTGTTACTATCAGATATTTTTCTATGAGAATTCAGACCTTCTCTGTCTTGTTCAAAGCTGGTGCTTACCTAGAACAGTGCCTAGCACATAGAATATGTGCAAATGTATTTATTAAATGAATATTGAGGGGGATCCCTGGGAGGCTCAGCGGTTTAGCGCCTGCCTTCAGCCCAGGGCGTGATCCTGGAGTCCTGGGATTGAGTCCCGCATCAGGCTTCCTGCATAGTGTCTGCTTCTCCCTCTGCCTATGTCTCTGCCTCTCTCTCTCTCTCTCTCTCTCTCTCTCTCATGAATAAATAAATAAATAAAATCTTCAAAAAATGAATATTGAATCCTATTTTCATTGTCTCAGTCTGTGTGATGTTATATATTTACATAGATATGATTCATTATATTTCATGTTTTCTCTCTTTTCCCTGACTACTTTGGCAGATTGTTTTTCATCATCTCTCCCCATCCCCAGTATCATTAGGTAGTTTTAAAATGTCCTTCCTTTCTCTCTCTCTCTTTTTTGTTCTTAACTTCATATTTTAACAGTAATGTTTAAATCTGTGTTCTCTGTCAGTATACCAAAGACCGTATATACCCCTTCCATTGCTTTACTTTGTCATTCCAGCCGGCTTCCTGCATCCCCTGTTCCTTTCCCCAGTGAGGTACACCCCTTACTCTTACTTCTGCACTTCATCCTTCCACTCCTGCCTCTAGGTTTTATTGGAACAATTTTGGGCTCTTTTATTTATTTTTTAATTTAATTTAATTTTTTTTTAGATTTTATTTATTCATGAATGACAGAGAGAGTGAGGGGCAGAGACACAGGCAGAGAAGCAGGCTCCATGCAGGAAACCCGATGTGGGACTCGATCCCGGGTCTCCAGGATCACGCCCTGGGCTGCAGGCGGCGCTAAACCGCTGTGCCACCGGGGTTGAATTTTGGGCTCTTTTAAAGTTTTTCTTTATAATATGCCGTTTTTTTTTCAATATCTATAAGATAAAGTTCACAATCACATTATCATTTATTCAGATTTGACCAAATGTTTTATTAGATTCATCAATTGTATCAATGTCTTAGAATTTTTCTTCTAATTTAATTGGAGTTTTTTTGGCTGGTGAAATTCCTTGAGTAATTTTCTCATAAAAGGCACATAGGTGGTGTATCTGTTTCCTATTGTTGTTGTAACAAATTACCACAAACACAAAACGTGAATTTACCATTTTATACTTCTGGGGACCAGAAGTCCAAAGTGGGTCTTCCTGGGCTAAAATCATGGCTCTAGCAGGCTATGTTTCTTCTGGAGGGTCTAGGGGAGAATCTGTTTCCTTGCCTTTCCTAGCTTCTAGAGGCCACCTGTGGTCTTCAGCTCATGCTCCTTCCGCTGTCTTTAAAGCCAGCAAAGATCTTCTAACTCCTCCCCTTCCCTTTGTTCTTTCCCTCCCTGTATTCTCTCTCACCATTCTCATTCTTTCTGTCCCTTTTACTCTGGCATTTCTGCCTCCCTATTTTAAGAACTCTTGTGATTCTGCCTCCTTTTAAGAATTCATGTGATTATGTTGGGCCCACATGAATAATCCCTGTTGATTTTCCCATCTCAAGATTTTTAACTTAATCACATCTGCAGAGTCTCTTAGCATACAAGGAAATCTGTTCACAGGTTTCAAGGATTAAGACAAGGATATCTTGGGGAGTTATTATTCTGCCTACAAGTTATACTCTAAATTCTTGTATGCTGAAAAGGTGTGGTTGTTGCAAGAGGGTGGGATCATCTCCATCATAAGGAAAATAGTCACATCTTATAAAAGTATAAAGTTGTTTTTGTTTTGAAGTTCTAATATGTGTAGAGGGTCATTTGTGAACTATGAAGGTAATAGGTAGACTGTGCCAATTATTAACCCTGTCTCCCAGCTCCAAATCTGTCTTCTGTACTCCTCTCTCATTCTGGAGCTGGCTCTGCAACTACGTTTCTTCTTTGCCACCTAGCTTCTTATTAGGTTCTGCCGGTAGAAGGAGACCGGATGGAAAGCAGGAGGAGAGAGAAGGGACTTAACTTTTTTCTGATTGCCTACAGTTCCTTATTCCTCTACTGGCTTTGGTGACCTTTCTGCCTTGTAGTCAGTCATGGGATCCTGCTATTATAAGCATTTTCTTTGTAAGGTTGGCATATGTGGTTTTGTCTTTTAGCTTATAGTGAAGCACAGCTGATCACTCTTGTCTCTGGAACCTTGGAGTTGAGAAATTTCACTAGGGGGACTCCTGGGTGGCTCAGTGGTTCAGCGTCTGCCTTTGGCCCAGGGTGTGATCCTGGAGTCCCAGGATCGAGTCCCACATTGGGCTCCCTGCATGGAGCCTGCTTCTCCCTCTGCCTATGTCTCTGCCTCTCTCTATGTCTCTCATGAATAAAAAAAAAAAAAAAAAAAAAAAAAATTTCAATTTCACCAGGGTAGAACTCCGTTCATTACTCCTTGACAGTTTGTAAGCCTTCTGAATCTGAAAACTCGTTTTTTTTTTTTTTTTGACAGAGAAATCTTCTGGAAGATGATTCAGATGAAGAAGAAGACTTTTTTCTGTAAGTTTTTGGTTTTAACAGCTTTATTGGGGTATAATTAACATCTAATAAAATATAGAGAGAGTATGTGGATTTTGATACATGTACTATACACCTGTGAAATTATCACCAAAATCAAGTAATAAACATAACCATCACCTCAAAAGTTTCCTCATACTCTTTGGTAATCTATCACTCCCCCAGTCTCTAGGCAACCATTGATCTGTTTTGTATTTTCTAGAATCTTTTAAATAAATGGTATCATACAGTATGCCTTATTTTTTTAATGGCTTTATTCGCTTTGCATAATTATTTTGAGATTGATCCATACTGTCACATGTATCAGCGATCCCTTTTTTATTTCTGAGAAGTATTCCATTATATAAATGTACTGCAATTCATTCATCCATTCACTTATTGATAGATATTTAGGGTGTTTATAGTTTTTGTTATTATGAATAAAGTGGCTATAAACATTTATGTACAAGTTTTTGAGTGGGCTTATGCTTTCAGTTCTTTTGGGAAAATACTTAGGAGTTAGTTGAGTGACTGGTATATTTGTACAGCTGTTTTCCAAAGTGGTGTACGTTTTATATTCCCACTAGCATTGTACAAGAGTTCTAGTCTAAATCTGATAAGTACTATATACATTCAATGTTTTAATTTTAGCCGTTCTTACAGGTATGTGGTGTTACCTCACTATAGTTTTAATTTGCATTTCCCTAATGACAGAGCACATTGGTCATCATTTTTTGTGTGTATTTGCCATCCTCAGATCTTCTTTGATAAAGTATGTTAAAATCTTTTGCCCAGTTCTAAATGTGTCTTCTTATTCAGTTATTTATGTATTCAAAATACAAGTTCTGTGTCAGATACGTTTTACAGATATTTACTTAGTCTGTAACTTAATCTTTTTTTCATAATAGTGTCTTTTGAAGATCAAACTGATTTTGATGAAATCAATTTATTACATTTTCTTTTATTGTTTTTGTTTATTTAAAAAATATATGCCAAACCCAAGTTCACTAAGATTTTCTCCTATGTTCTCTTATAGGAGTTTTATAGTTTTGGCTTTTACATTTAGGTCTATAATCTATTTCAAATGAATTTTTTATATATGGTTGAAGTAAGGGTGAAGGGTGATTTTGTTGTTGTTGCATACAGCTATCCAGTTGTTCCACCACTATCTGATGAAAAGATTATCCTTTTCCCATTGAATTGCCCTGATACTTTGCCATTTAATTGACCTGATCAATCCTTTACAGTTATGATTAGAAAGAGCTGTGTTCCTACAGGCCTAGTTTTATTTGCAAAGTCAGGAAGAAGGACATATTGTTGCAGTTTTCCCCAGAGATTGAGGTAGAGGGGTGTGCCTGAGGGGAAACATTGGCCGCCTTTGTTATAATGTTGCAATGTTTTTGTAGAGGCTTTCCCCCTCCCAAATAAAAACCTTTTATAGAAAGTAATTGACAGCTGTAAAGCAGTGAACAAAAAGAGCTTGCCAGATAGGAAGCAAATCCATTAACAGGAAATAGTATCACTTTGGCAAGGTCAGATGAAGTGGGAAGATAATTTCCTACATATGACACAATTTCCAAAGAGTCACAAAGCTAATTGCCATGGTGCCAATTATGGTGAAAAGCCTTAGATCTAGAGCAATAGCTGCCTGTCAGAATGGAATTTAGGATTGAACAGAAGGCCAGAAGGTTGAATAAGTGATTCCTTCATGGTAAGCTGGATACCCTTGTGGGAAACACTTCAGACCAGTAGTGTACCATCGGAAATCTGCTCCCAAATAATGTGCATCTTTCATATGGCCTGACAGCCAACTGGCACACTTGCTGAAAGTGCAGCTTCCACACACTGTGGCCCTGAGTGTTGAAAGGGAGACAAAACAAATTTTTAAAAAATTAATCAACACCCAGGTTTATAGCAGCATTATTCACAATAGCCAAAAGATAGCGCAAGCTAAAGGTCAATCATCAGGTGAATGGATAAACAAAGGGTGATATATCTGTACGATAGAATATTACTTGGCCTTTATTAGTCGGTCTTAAAAAGGAAGAAAATTCTGACACATGCTACAACATGAATGAACCTCAAAAACATTATGCTAAGTGAAAGAAGCTGATCACAAAAGTATAAATTTTACATAATTCCACTTACATGAAGTACCTAGAGTAGACAAAGTCATGGAGACACAAAGTAGAATGGAGGTTGAAAGGAGCTAAGCAGAGGAGGAATGGGAGTTAGTGTTTAACTAGTACAGATATATATATATATATATATATATATATATATATATATATATATATATATATTATTTTTTTTTTTTTTTTTTTTTTAAAGTAAGATCTACACCGAACATGGGGCTCAAATTCAGCACACTGAGATGAGGAGTAGCATGCTCTACCAACTGAGCCTGGTACCCGATTCTAAGTTTTAAAAATTTTTGTGCTTTACAACCTATTCTCTATCATCAGAGGAATAATTACCCAAAATATCTAAAAGTTTTTCTTTCCAGAATCTTAAAATGGATTGGTTGAAATGATATAACACATGACAAATAATTGGAGAAATGTTGGTATTTTTGTAGACTCTTGGATTTCCCTTTAGCTTTGTTGATAAGTTGAAGATGAGTAACAAAAGTGTTTTGAATGGATTTCCTCTATATTCATTCCTGATTATCAGCATTTTATGACAACCTAATTCAAAGGTGAATTTACTTTTAGTGTTCTATAATTGATCATAAAGTTATTCATAGTCACTGGCATTTCAGTTCTCATGGTTTCAGAGTTTAGTGGTTAGAACAACCTATATATAAACAAAGAATTATATAAACCCTATCTTCTCTGAAAATTTTAACATTTAGAAGAATTAGGTTAGTTGTGGCTAGCACCGACCAGCACTGAATACCAGTGAAGTACAGATGTGTGGTTACATATCATTTAGTTCCAGCAATACCAGTAAAGTATGATTTCTTATAATAGATGATCCATGTTTAGAACTAAGCTTGATTGTATGTGTGTATTTTTTTTATGCTCTCATTATGAATATGTACTTGGTATTTTGTTTTCAGAAGGGGACCATCTGGACCAAGATTTGGACCTAGAAATGATAAAATTAAGCAGTAAGTTCCTGAGCTACTCATTTGTTTAAGTGATTATCATATTTCTGCATGGGCCCGGGGTTAGCAATCTGCACCTATGATTCAAATCTAGTTGCTGCCTATTTTTCTGAATAAAGTTTTATTGGAACACAAGCATGCCTATTTATTTTCTTATTATCTGTGGCTGCTTTAAAATTACAATGGCAGATTTGAGTAGTTGTGACAGAGACCTTGTGACTCGCAAAATCTGAAATATTTATTACCTGTCTGGCCTTTTACAGAAAAAGTTTGCTGAGCCCTGATGTATATAACTACTGGATTGTAAAAACCCAATAATTCTTTTTAGTTTCACAGAGCTACCTCTGAATAATAGATAAGGAAATCCAATTCCTCTTGGTTTTTCTTAACCTGATTGTTTTTTGTCAAATCCATTTATTTAGCATAATCTCAAGGTCCATTTTGGTTTTAAATCTATAGCTTGGGATCCCTGGGTGGCTCAGCAGTTTAGCACCTGCCTTTGGCCCAGGGCGCAATCCTGGAGTCCTGGGATCGAGTTCCGCGTCAGGCTCCCGGCATGGAGCCTGCTTCTCCCTCTGCCTGTGTCTCTGCCTCTCTCTCTCTCTCTCTATCATGAATAAATAAATAAATCTTAAAAAATAAATAAATCTATAGCTTGATTCCCATTTTCAGAATTAATGGAAATAATATAATAGATTTAGTTTTTTGAAGTATAATATTTTTTTGTATTCCTCCAGAACTTTTTTATATCTATTATTTATCCTAATTCCTATATTGCTCTAAGATTTATGGCTTTCAGTTTAAAGCTTTTTCTGTGTATGTTGGTTGTGGTAGGTTGATGGGTGATGCTATAGTAAATGCATCCAATGTTAGAAGGATCTGGATCCTGAGAGAAGAGAGGAATTGGAGGAGCAGTGAAATAGCCCTGGACACTGACTAGTTTTGAAGACTAACTGTGGACGATGAACTAAATAAAAGGCCTGAATTCAGGATCTAAGGAGGGATAATCACTGCTGTAGTTCAGGATATACTTGGCACACAATAGGAAGGGTGCTATAATAGGGAATCAAATTATTGGTCAGATACTTGGGCTTTAGTCAGTCAGGTAGGTGTCGGTGTGAAAAAAAAAATGTCCACACTTAGCCTAATCCACTTAGCCAGTGAATTCTGGAATATGAACCAAGGTTACAACAAACTGATTTGAGTGCTAGACAGGATGTTTTTATTTTCTCTTGCTATGTGACAGATTGTCCTGAACTTAGCAGCCTAAAACTACACACATTATCATCTCACATTTCCATGGGTCCAGGAGTTCAGTCACTGCTTAGGTGGGCCCTCTATAAGGGGTCTCACAAGTCTGAAATCAAGGTGTTACCACAGGTATGATCTCATTTGAAGCTCCAAAGTTCAGGTAGTTGTTGCCAGAATTATTTTCCTTGCAAATGTAGAACTCATGGTACTTGCTCCTTCAAAGCCAGCAGAGGAGAGTCTCTGCTGCTCCAAGGCTCTGATTTGGCCAGTAAAGATACAATGAGCTACTTAGATTCAGGCAGTTCATTATGTACATAGGCAATAAAAGGAAGAGTAGCCAAACTCTCTGGGTTCTTGTCCTACATACCGAAAATGATGATTCCGAAATAAAAGGGTCTGCACGGCAGTAATAGGAATTGTAGGATACCCAAGCCAGTTCTACACTGTAGCTCAGTGGTTTTATGGTCTGCAAATATGCCCTGCAGAAAACTTTCCATACATTATCATAACCTAGAGGGTGGTAAGAAATTGGCTTGTGACAGTCTTCTAGGATGATGAGTGAGAGATGGCCTCACAAGCCATTCATCATCTCATGTTCTGGGAGGATTACAGAGCATTCAGGGTTGTCAGGGTGCCATGGCAGAGCTGTTCATCTACATGAGCCAGAGTGATTTCTGTATCTACCCACATAGTTCTCATACCTAAGCCACCCTGGAGTAGGGAACTCCACTGATGACACACTTGTTTTTTGTCCTGCCAATATGCTTTATTTCCTGTCTGATACCCTTCTGCAAATGGAGCCTAGTACTGAGTATGGCCTATTGAGTCTTTTGAATATGATCTTCCAGCTGAACCCAAACCACTGCTAGTTGTCTAGAATGGGCATTGCAAACAAAGTATATGTCTATATTAGCAAGTGCCAATCACATACACACATGAATATTTATATGTACATATTAATTAGCACAGTATATTTGGTGCTCACAGAATTTTAGAACACCAAGGGGTTATTGAGTAAGTATAATGGTTCTTACTCTAGAACCAGAGGCTTGCCAGACTTAGAAGGTGATTAGTCATCAAAATACAATATAAAACTGTGGGCACGGGCTCATGAATGCTTATATAGCCAGGGTATGACTCTGTTGTGTGCCCCAAATGGCCCAAGATGGAGGAACACAGTCTACCACACAACTTGCCCATGGACACATACCTGGCATTAGTTGAGTAACCAAAATTGTAGCACTGGTGAGTTTCTTTAAGCTGTACTATCACTCCTTGGTTTGTGGTATTTTAATACAGGGTAATTCTTAACTGCATGGATCAGCAACATTGTTGCTTCATTTGAATTTGATTGGCATGTTGACACCAGAATATTCCCACAAAAAGTACTACCACTTTTCAGGGAATTTTTTTTTTTTTTTTGTGATTTAAAATATTCACATGCCTATATAAAATGTATGGTTCTCTTTGGAATGTTTTCTTGCTTTTAAGTTAAATAATGGCTTTATAAATGCAACTCTAGTGAGTTACAGGCATTCTCTCTTAGGGGTAGGGAATTTCCTAACTATAGTCTTGGTCCAAGCATTTTGACTCTATAAAAAGGCCGGCAAGGAGTGTTCATGACAAGGAGTGTTCATGATGTAACAGAAATACATACATAGTTGCAAAAATACAGCATCACTTTAAACCCTTTGTCAACAGTACCTTAAAAAGCCACAAGATGGGGGTGTTAACTATGAAAATAAATATTTTCTGTATAAAATAAGGAATGAGTATTTGTTGCAGAGCATGATTTTTTTTTTCTTAATGGAAGAGCACTGCCATTAAGCTCATGCGAGTGTTAGGCATTGTAATAAGGGTTTAAAAAACACTTCCATCTCATTCTCAAAAGTGAGAGATGATCATCCTCATTTTAAAGGTGAGAAAATACGAGGCTTGAGGAAGCTTAGAATGGACACTACTACACCATGCAGCTTCCCTGCTGATAATTAGAATAGAGGCATTTCAGGAATAGGAGAATGCTGTCTGCCTCTAAGGATGATTTAAGTCAACATTGAAATGTCTTTTCCTTTCTACATGTCTTTATCTTTTCCTGGGCATGCTCTCTTGTGTCCTTTCTTCTACCATATGACTCTCTTTTAACTGGAAATGATATATCTCCACACCCTCCTTTACAAACTTGTTTTTCCTTTGAGTTCCTAATTTTCTGTTTCAGTTAATAGCATCATCTCCTGACACTCAGTTGCTGAAATTATAAATCTAGAAATCCTCTACCCTTTTCTTGCCCCAGCTTCCTTTATCAGTGTCATTAATCAGTTGCTGCTTGAAATATCCCCTCCTTTTTGGGTTTTGTTTTAAATAATGTGTAGTGTATCGATATCCATAATAGCCATAATCTGATCACATGTAGGGGCTGCAGTGCATGTTGTCCGTTCCCACCCTGCAGTACTGCCTTAATTTAGGTTATTGTCATCTCTTGCAAATGACAAAAAGTAACTGCCTTGGGAATTTCAAGATTGGTCCTTGCTGAACAATAGCTGTGTTTCTGTTACAGTTCGCAGAGTTCAGTGGAGACCTCTACATTCACTGCCTTATATCTTTCTTAAGTAACTGGGTATGCTTTTCAGGACTTACACCCAAATTGTTTGCTTATTCAGCAAATGTTCATCAAATGGGTACTCTGCCCCAAGCACTGTTGCTGATACTGGGGCTGCAAAAGTGAACAAAATGAGCAGTTTCTGCTTTCATCAAGCTTAGCGTCTAGTGGGGAAAAGGTAGGAAATAGGTATGTACTTTCACTTAGTGTTAAATGCTTTAAATATAGAAGCGGGACAGACAGGCTCTATCACAGCTCTAAAGGTTAATGCATTGGTTCTGTGAGGGCTGGAATTGTCTGCTTTGTTCATTACTGTCTTCTCTGGGCCAAAAACAATACATAGCAGACTTTCATTGATTGTTGACTACACTAATTAGTTGCTTGAATATTTGTGCCATTGTCTTTATATAGGATGAACATTTTAGCTATTTGTTTAGGTGATTAGGCATTTTGCAGCAAGCCCATCTTAGGGATTCAGGGGATTTTTCGATCTTTTAGGGCAGAAGAGATGTTCTGCGTCCTGGCTTGGGTGATGCTTCTGTCTGGTATCCTTCAGTGGGCTCTGTGTGGGAAGCACAGAATTCTGGGAGCTGTGATGAACTGTGAAGTTTGTGTGTAGAAAATCAGTGGGTTTAAAAATGCTTTTCATATAGGAAGGAGAGACTGTCAACAAAGGTAGTAATTGCTACTTGAATCTGAGACTACTTCTGAACCCACCTATGTCTAAACGAGTCTGCATTTTGATTTTAAAGCAAACTTTTTGAAGATAGAGCTCTTCAAGGGAAGAGATAAAACTGTTTTAAAACTACGCATCCAGGCCTCACCCCTGACCCACTGGCTTAGTTTGGAGGATACTATGGAATAGAGGGCAGAGACAAAATGTGTATTGTGAGGTTTTGTTTTGTTTTGTTTTGTTTTGTTTTTAAAGCGCCACAGGCAATAATCAACACAATTATTTCTTTCCTAATTAGAAAGTTGCATATCTTTATTTTATAAAGATATTATACTTTATATTATATATATTCTGTATAACATATTATATATATATAGTTGCTAGTAATCCAGTGCATTTTAAACATTTTTTGAGTTGTAAGAACCATGAGTTCACTTTATTTCTCCTTTTAAATATTTCACTGGCATAACAATTTTATGAAGTAATTTAAGGTAATTTTTGTTTAACGGGAAAACTAAACACTTTAAATTATTATTTTTTTAAGATTTATTTATTCATGAGAGACACAAAGAAAGAAGTAGAGACATAGAGAAAGGGAGAAGCAGGCTCCTTGCAGGGAGCCCATTGTGGGACTTGATCCCTGGACTGAGATCTTACCCTGAGCCAAAGGCTGACGCTCAGCCGCTGAGCCACCCAGGCATCCTTAAACACTTTGAATTATTAAACATTTCTGTGTTTGTGTACTCAAGGTAACTCCTGAGTGAGAGCAAGCAGCTAAGAACCAATTAGATGAATGAGCCAGTGAAGATTAAGTCTTTATTAAACAGTCTGAAATTTGGTTAGAACAGGCCCTCATCACCTAACATAAAGGAGGAAATTATATTTTTATTTTGAAAAACAGCAAAAAATGTTTCCTTTCTGCTCCCTCTTGGGTGCTTCAGAACCTTTTTAAGTGTACCTGTCTTAAACCCTGTTTGTTTTCAAAGAAAAATGATGAGCAATGAACAGTTACACTCACTGAGCATTAGATACATTTCCATTTTGGAAATTGAGTATTTTCAAAAGCTAACCTAGGCAAATTCCTTTATTAGCATTAGTGTATAAACTATAGCAAAAGTAGGTTATGTGATGCCTCCCTGGGTAGCTTATGGAAAAGAAAGTGAAACTAATTATTTAGAGTCAAGCTATTTGATTAAAATTTGCAGTTCCCAAGCATTCTGACAGTACATTTAATTTGCAGGAACAGGGCTAAAAATAAACTATCTTTAAGTTAAATATGACTTTTACTTATATTATCTTTAATTGCCTGAGTGCTCAAGCCCACAAAGAAGGACACTGCCAAGCAGCCTTCACTTAAACATTTTATAGTTGGTACTCATCTGAAAACTTGCTATTTTCAATCATGGAAGTTTTCTAATGAAAGTTTCAAAAATTATAAAAATGCTCAAAAGAAAAAATAATTTTTATTTTATTTTTTTTAATAATTTTTAAATCTCTCCTTTAAACTAGTGTTCAGAATCAGGTGGATGAAGTTATTGATGTCATGCAAGAAAATATTACAAAGGTAATTGAAAGAGGGGAGAGACTAGATGAACTACAGGACAAATCAGGTACAGATACTTCATATATTTCTTGATATTAATCTGTGTTTTGATAGTTTCTCTTTCCATTTCTCTAGCCAGAATTTAGGAATCTTGGCTTAGGAAAATGATATTTGGTTCTTAAGTTTGTGATTTTAGTATTTTTACTTTAGCTCCCTTTACTTGACTCATCTTACTGCATTATTTAATTGTTGGGTTGGGAATAGAAAATTTTTAAATTTATTATTGGAAAGTTAGAGTGGTTTTTTTTCTTTTTTATGTTGAAGTGTGTTGTATTTTTTCTCGCGATCGCGATCTCAAGAAGGAAAAGTCTAATCACTTCAACACTTAGGTCAAAGTTAATCTACTTTTATTTTAGGCTTTCTCTGGTAACTTAAAAACATTTCTTTATTGACAAATGTTAGTCTCTGTATTTGTAACAGTTGCTGGCATATGTTGGGTACTCAAATATTCTTTAAATAAATGATGAGTGGCGAAATACCCGACTAATCCTTGATAGTTTGTCTAACAACTTATTTAACCACTTTTAAAATTCATTGTTTTACCTCAGACTGTTTCATGGTTTATTTATCCATTGTCCTGTTAATGTTTGATTCAGATTTTTACACTATTAGTTTTTTAGTGGGCACACTTGTATATGTCTTCTTGTGCTAGGGTATGTAACTCAGAATAAATTGCTGTTTAGCTTTATTTATTTACATAAATATTTTTAGCTTTACATAATACTGTCAAAGTATTCTTTAAAACTATTAAATTTCTGCTGATTTATATCTTTACTAGCTATGTATGAGAATTCCTGTTGTTCTGCATCCTCAATAAAACTGATACTGTCCCAGCAGTAAATAAATAAATATCATTGTTTTACTTTAAAATCAATCACTTTCTGTATCTTCTAAGAATCTAACCTTCTCCATGTGTAAATTTTTTTCTGTAGGTATGTCAAGTATTTGAATTTTTAAAGAGTATTTTCTTACCAGAATTTTTGTTTTTGTGAAAGCATTGAGGCCCTGGAAAAAATGACCTACTGCTGTTTTTTGCTTCCCTCCCTCACCCCCATACAGATTGCCAGAGTTTGTGGGTGGAGGAATGGGAGGATGTTGTTTTCATGCTTAAAAGGCAATACATTTGCAGAAGTAGAAATTAATATTTTCTTGTCTTTGTGTGACTAGATAAAAGAATCCTGTTATGTCGTTTAATCCTTCTCTCCATCCTCTATGTGATATAGAAAGCTTATCGGATAATGCAACTGCTTTTAGCAACAGATCCAAACAACTTCGAAGGCAAATGTGGTGGCGTGGATGCAAAGTAAGTCAGTAGACACTGCATTAGTTGCCCAGGATCTCAAGTGGTCTTCACAAAATAAAGGGCCTCTAGACTCGAAGCTCTGTGAGGACAAGGACTACTACTGCCTTGTTTATTTTAGCTTCTGAACTTGAGACATGCTGGGACTCAGTAAATATTTGCTGAATTTATTAATAGCTCTGGGTACAGGAATAACTAAAGGAATCAAGCAATTCTTAAAAGGATGTTTTCATGGATTTCTTCATAGAAAGTAAGCCAAGTTTTATTAATAATTTAGCTACTTGTAGACTACCTTATAAGAAATATAAATTTTTCATATAGTTTATTGTTAGTACCTTTTTGGAGCAACTTATAACATTACATAGAGATTTTAAAAGATGGAATGGAAGCTAGAGAAAAGTACAATTTTCTGTTGGAGAAAAATAAAAGCAGTTTATATGTTAGAACCCATTATAACAAATGAGGCTTAAAAAAAAAAACCTCACTATTCTTTATTCCAAAGAAATCAGAAATAAAAATGTTTAACAAAGTAAAACATATTTAAATATGTACTAATATATTCATGCAAAACATTTTATAGAAATGAATTTGCCTCTTAAGTATGGCTACTAATCATTAAAATGTTTAAGATTACATAGAGAATTTCATGTCATGTGAGCAATTTTTTTTTCCTCTCAATTCTGTGTATCATTTTTGGCTCTGTTGGAAAGTCTTAGACATAAATTCATTGTTTTTAATCTCTCATTTTTAAGCTTGAACTTGACTTTGCCTTATGCTAAGAATTTCTTCCAAGAGTTGCTGTGGATTTACTTATTTTTGTCTGTCTGCCTGTTGAATCATCTTACTTTCAAAATAGAAATGAGGAAAGAAACAGGTTTCATTGTTCCCCTTGTCTAGTAAAGAATAAATTTCCCATCCTCTATAAGTTTTCCTTTTTTTTTTTTAAAGATTTATTTATTCATGATAGACATAGAGAGAGAGGCAGAGACACACAGGAGGAGGGATAAGCAGGCCCATGCCGGGACCCTGACATGGGACTCGATCCCGGGACCCCAGGATCGTGCCCTGGGCCAAAGGCAGACATGAAACCGCTGAGCCACCCAGGGATCCCAAGTTTTCCATTTTTATAGAAATTCTCTATACCCTGGTTTGGAAGAGCCAAGGGTCCATGAGCCACTCACTTCCTCTCCCCCTATGTACACATGACCCATTCATGTAGCCACTAAAAGATGATCATAATGTACATTTTGCCTAGCTTCTTTTCACCATATCTAAAGATTGTTGTTTTGTATCTTCTGGATTTCAGGCCGGAGGAACAGTTATGCCTTTTTTTTTTTTTTTTTGAAAAGTATGTTTTAAGGAGGAAAATTGAATTTTATTTTAAAATTATATTTGGATTATATTTCTATATCAGAAAGGGAGACAGGACATAAAGACTCCTAACTCTGGGAAATGAACTAGGGTTGGTGGGAAGGGGAGGAGGGTGGGGGTAAATGGGTGACGGGCACTGAGGGGGGCACTTGACAGGATGAGCACTAGGGGTTATTCTGTATGTTAGCAAATTGAACACCAAAAAAAAATAAATTTATTATTTGAAAAAATGAATTATATTTCTAAATAGTCCCTATATCACTACCATTTTCTGGATTGACTTTGTAATGATGATTGAGGAAAGGGGATATAGGGACAGGAAACAAAAAAAAAAAATAGGGACAGGAAACAAATCAGAGGTTGCCAGTGGCTAGCTAAGGGTAGGGAGGTGCATACTGACTATAATAGGGCATGAGGGAACTTTCGGAGTGATGGAAGTGCCTTATGTTTGATTGATGGTGGTGGATGACAACTCTACATTTGTCAAAACACATCAAAATGAAGTTTAAAAGGGTGAATATTATTCTAGATAAAGTATATTTCAATAGACCTGATTTTAAAAGTGAAAAAAATTATCCAGTAGGTGCGGAGAATTTCTACATTGTTTTATCATAATTAATAATTTTAATAGGCACCTGGTGTCCAAATTGCAAACCTTCCATGTATTCTCTTGGTCAGTTTGTTCCTGTCATAAATATGATGCCACTAAAATGTTACCAGTAGCTGTTTTAGAAACATTTCATTAGCTACTTCTGGTTGCTATTTCTGATACTCATAATGTTGCATGTGTTTATAGTAGCTAAGTCTTTTTTTAATTAATGAACCATCTTTAATCAGTTATCTGTGAAAATGATGAAAACAAGACTTTTATCAGGAAAATCAGACCAATTTATAATTTATGTACTTTAGGATTAAATGAGGAATGTGACAATTTTATAGAGATGTGAGCTGAAAATATTGAGCAACAGACTAAGGATTAATCTTAAGGTTTCTCCTCCCAACTATGAAACTGGCACACATAGGCCTCTTAGGCAAGTTATTTATTAAATGAGGTATCCACAAAGAATCTAAATTATATTCCTCAAAATGGAGACAAAATTGCCAAGAGGAGAGTAAGGAGAACAAAAACAGAATTCTCATATGCTTTGAGAATAAGTGCTATAAAAAATGCTGCCTTATATAGAGAGAATGAATTGTATTGAATACCTATATTATTCATCATATCCTGATACTTTTGAACAGAGTTGCTAAAATTTCATACTTTTCCTAGTCTCATTAGAAATAAGCAGGAGAAATCATAGACACAGTGTTCATGCCAGTGAAGACTTTGTTACTGTTTACTGTACAATACAGCCTTAAACAATAAAATCCAGGCAAGCAAAAAACAAAGATGAAAATAGTTAAGTTCACATGAGAAAAAATTTGAAAAGCTTTCAAGGGATGAGCTTTTCATTGATGAGTTAGTATACTGTAATTAGTAGCACAACAGATAATCTTGACTTTATTAACAAGTCAAACATTAATACCTTATGCTTTTTTGTGTGTTGTAGATAAAAGCCATCATGGCTTTGGTTGCTGTTATCCTTTTGCTAGTGATTATCAGTAAGTATTTACTGGATTAGTAATGTGGGGGGGGTATCATTTGTTTTAGAGTTCATTTTAATTTCCCTTTTAACTTATTTTCAGTTGATCTAGTATGACTAATGCCAGGATTGAGTAATAATGTCTGACCTTAAGTCAGGACTTCTTAAACTACTAGTCTATAGATGTCTGAAAATGTTCTTAAATTGTATGAAAAAATCTGTGTGAATATGCATATGCACATTTTTATTAAAGAGAGTCTGTATCTTTAATCAGATTCTCAGAGAGCATTCCTGCCTACCCCTCACCCGCAAACCCAGGGCTGTCTGAGGCCAAACAGGGTGCCTGTACACCCATCTTCTATTATTAACTTCAGGTTATGGAAGTTTGTCTTTCATAATACTGTGTTTGGAGGACAAGTCCAGATAAATTTTCTCCATATGATGGGTTTTGTTTTGTTGTTTGGGTTTAGATTTAAACTTGATTTTACTCATTAATGCCTAACTCATCTTTTTTTTCTTAACATTATTAAAGTCAGATAATTTTTACTACCTCCTCTTCCCCAAGTCCCTTTATCTGTGTTTATAGGGATTTTATGAAGATTTGAGAAGTGCCTCATAAGAGCCACTTGAAAAACCCCATGGAATTACTCTCTTTTTAGACAGAAAAAGTTTGTCACAAAGAAATAGTGTTGATCCTCATTGTGGATTTTGTGTGACTTCACCTAAAACACTGATGTATAAACTAGAAATCAGTCCTGGAGATGCTTCCCTCGTCATTGGCAGCTGTGTTCAGAGCAGTGAAAAATCTGCATCTCCTGGACGTCAGTGGGCACTTTCCCAGCTGATGTCTGGTGAGACTATGCTCTGCCTTTCTAGTTTCAGCTCTCATACACAAGTCTTTCTAAGTCTGTTTAGTACCGCATTTCTCACAGTTTTGTGCATTTTGTTCGTGATTTCAGTATTTAAAATGGCCCCCAAGCCTCATGTTGAATTGCTGTCTAGTGTTGCTCTAAGCTCTAGAAGGCTGTGGTGGGCCTTACGGAAAATACATATGCTAGATAAGCTTCATTTAGGCATAAGTTACAGTGCTGTTAGCCCTAAGTTCAATGTTAGTGAATCAACAACATCTATCTAAAGGTTATCTTTTTTTTTTTAGATTTTCTTTATTTATTCATGAGAGAGACACAGAGACATAGGCAGAGGGAGAAGCAGGCTCTCTATAGGGAGCCCAATGTGGGACTCGATCCCAGGACTCCAGGATCATGCCCTGAGCCGAAGGCAGATGCTCAACCACTGAGCCACCCAGGCATCCCTCAAAAGGCTATCTTTGAACAGAAATGCAAGATTATATATTGATTAGTGGACAAAAATATAGCCAAAGGCTTGCAGGAATCTAACCCTGTATTTTCCCTAGGAATGAGGGTTCATTATTTATTAATTGTTTGTAGTGTTTGTAGTTACTTTATAGAACATAACTACTATAGATACCAGAATCAACCATATATTTATGATGGAAAATGTGGAATAAAGCATAAAGAAGAAAATAAAATTCACCTGTAATCCTACTACACAGGGATAGCTACTATTAATATAAGTATTCTGTATTTCAAATATTTTCCCGATTAATCGTGTTTTTCAAAAACTAATGTTATATACAAACATACTTAATAACCTGGGAAAATGTGTAATATTTTAAAAATATTGTAGTAGCTGTATGCTATGGTAATACCATAACCTATTTGATCAAAATCCCAATGTTAGTGGCGCCTGGCTGGCTCAGTCAGTAGAGCATGCAACTCTTGGTCTTGGACGTTGCAAGTTCTAGCCCCATGTTGGGTGTGGAGATTACTATAAATCTTTAAAGAGAAAATGCTAATTATAGACATTTAGTTTGTTTTATGATATTTTTGCTTATGCTATTCCTATTTGTTATCTTTCATCTCAGATAAAAAGTTCCTTCCTGGGGTTCCTGGGATGGCTCAATCGTTGAGCATCCAATTCTTGATGGTTCCAGGCTCTGTGCTCAGCAGGGAGTCTCCTTGAGATTCTCTCTCTCCCTCTTCCCCTCCCCACATGAACATCGTGCGTGTTCTCGCTCTAAAATAAATAAATCTTTTTTAAAAAGTTCCTTCCTTATTACCTCTTTCCAAAAGTGGACACAGCTATGTTTAAGAATATTGTTTTTAACATACCATCTGAATCTGATTTTGATATGTTCCTTTGCATTTTTTTCTCTTGCAGTTCTTACAGTCTTGAAATACCGCGCTTGATTTGGTGACAGAGATCTTCATTACACAAAATCTGGGACAACAATAATAAAAGATTGCTGCATAATTTAAATGAAACCTATGTATATAACTTTCAAAACTTCTTTTTCAAGAAACGAAGAGGCAAGTATCACTTCAAATTGGAGCATTGCGAATGTCTAGTTATCTTCTTCCCTTCTAACAAAGTGTGTTTTAAAAAATTATGTTTAAGGCAGATAACCAGCCTCTGTTTTGCCATATTCCAAGGATCTAATTTGAAACTAGATACTTGCCAGTTCATTATTTGTATATTAGTTAAACAGTGACCACAATATTTCATACTGTTATTATAAGGACTTACATTATTGCATCAACATGGGGATCAGACTGGGAGTCCAGAAGCCTGTGTAGAGTACCAAAACATGCTAAAAACCATACATAGCCATTCCATTAATATTTGCAAGATTCTTCTCACATTACAGTTACTTTGCAAGCAATTTCCACATGTTTATGGGTGTAACAAAAGCTAAATGTTGTAAATGTTCCTGCCTTCAGCTATAACTAAAACATTCCAGTAAACCTATTTTTGACTGTATAAGGGAATGTGTAGTAATTTTTTGGCATATGGATTATGGAAATGGAAAAATCTAAACAATATGAAAAGCATAGTGTGGCACCATAAAACTGGAGATAATAAAATTATTGGAGAACATCACTGGAGTGTTTGAAAGTGAACAGCATGGTCCAGTCTATTTCCAGTTAGCTTCCAATAAGAAGGGACCTAATGTGAGTAAATGAAATCCACAGGTAACTTATCCTCTAATTTTATTTTGATACCTTCCCTCTTTAGCTTCAACTATCCCTCTCCCAGAAGTGCTAAAAGTAGCAAAATCATCTGTTTGGAATTTGCTATTTTTGTATTCCCTGATCATCCCTGAGAGGTGCATGTTGTACAATCAGGTGTCAAATTAGCCAACAATAATGAGTCTAAAAAGTCAGGAGATAATCATCCATCAGTCAGTAACCAAATAGCTAGAGTGGCCATTAACCTAAGTCTATTTTTACAGCAATAAAATATATTGTTAACTTTAAAATGTGCCAACCTCCTTGTGTTGTTTAAACAAGTCAAAGCAAAAATACATAGTGCTCAAATGTCTTCAAGAAAGAAGCTTTATAATAAAATTGGAGGTCCTACAGAAACTTGTGCACATGAATATGTTGACTATATATACATATATAACTGAAATTGAAATAGGGTAAATAGAAGAACCAGTATTTAAATAGGAAAGAAATATGGTCCTGTATAGTTTTCTTTCTTTGGTTATTTTAATTCAGAACATATGAAACATAGAATCCATTTTTTTTAAATCTATAGGATTAGTACTAAGAAGCAGAACTGTTATGTTTAAATGGAAAGAAATAGGAAGGGATAAAGCATATTAGGATATACTCAAGATACCTGCAAGTTACGAAGATCTAAATCGCTAAATTTTATAGTCTGATAACATTTAAAAAAAGACAAAGGTCTTACATACTATGGGGTATCATCACTGGTCTTGCTACTCTTTGTAAATGTCAATTAATGTAAATAACATAATAAATACTAAATCCTTTGACAAAGTAAGATGCCCATGAGAATGAGTATTTTTAGGATTTCAGTAGCTAATACAGTTCAGGAATGGAAAGGTTTTAACATAATGAACAGAATCAGTCCTAACATATGTATGTATGTCTCTTATTTGGGATTGGAACCAGATTCATCAGTGGTTAATTTTCCATTGGTTGGTGTGGAATCTGGTTTCTCCATGATAGCAGTGAAGATTATTTCTCAAAAAGAATCCACATTTCTAGTGTTTTCTTTTAAGAAAGTATGCCACTCTTAAATATAAAAAATTAAATTATTTTTTAAAATTTTAACCATAAAAATGAAATATTTATATGACAATATCATATATATGTAATTCTCTTTGTATTTAAATATATGGCTGGCAAAGTGGTGGCGTGCATGTCACTGTGTTCTAGTTGTTGCTTGGTTCATTTTGTCTTTCTTGGTCCTCATTAATCCTGAGACCCTTAAAATGCCTGGTCTGTTTATGACTTTATTGTGGTAATCTTAGAGACATGAGCCTTCTTACATTCAAAAACAAAAGAAAAATAATGTTCCAATTGATGCCAGGCCCACTACCTTCCTTCCTTCCCTTAATTGTTCTTTTTTTCATTCAGCTCAGATCATCCTGCACTTGAAAAATGAAGTTTTACAACACTATCAAAACTATCATTATTTAACAGCAAAGAAGATCAACTGAAAAATTCAAGTAGCTTTGTAAATACTAGTTGGTACCCAGTGAAATCAGGTCACTATTTTTATAATGCCTGAAATCTACCCTTATGATTTATGTTTAATTACTAAAGCCTATAGCAATTTTGTGATTATAACACTAATTAACTCTTCCTGACTATACACCAGTATTACCAGTGGTCTTTCAGTTTCTCCATCCTGATAAAGCTCACTGAAAACTGCACTCCAATTTTATGAACTTGGGGATTCCTTGTTTAAGAGCAAGCTCAATATTGAACATGGAAAATTATCTAAAATGGAAGAAAATCATTAGTACACATCAAGTAGAGAAATACATTGTGTTAGCTCTCCTGCAGATCACTTAACCATACAATCACTCTGCATTAGAAAATTTCAGCATTTTTACAGCAAAAATTGACATCATTCAGTTCTGTACACAGCATATGGGTATCCTGAAAATGAAGTGATTATACTTGCACAGATTGAGGAAGAATAAAAAATGAAAATTTATCATTGTCAATACACTCTTCACCATGCTTGCCACCCACACTTACTCTGTCCACATCTGTATGTATATACACTGACTAGGAAACAGCAAGAAATCGTTTTTTCATGTTGAGAAGGGATGCCATTAGAAGAGGTCCTTAGTTGTGCTGAGTATTACCAAGTCAAACTAACTGCTCTAATAGTCTGATTTTGTGTTTTCATACAAAAATGTGGTTGAAGTCCATTTTCTTTTTCTGTGAGTGCGGAGTAAGAGTATGAATCAGTCCAAAAACATGCATACGTTTGTTTTAGAATGCATTGTAGTGCTCATATTCACGCAGGGAATTATCACAGAGCAATGTAAAGGCACCAGGTCCTAAGGAGCTAAGGATGCCTTCTCAGTCTGACCCCTGCTTTTTCCATGTTGTAGACAAGCAGAACCATACGTCAGACAGATGTGGGCCTTGCGCCATCTTTATAAGTTTGATTTGGGTCTTAACTCTGACTTTTTCTGAGAATCAAATAGAATAAGGGATGGGGATGTGAACTCTTTGAATCTCACTCCTGTTTTAAGAAACTGCCTGGGACAGGTCAGTAGGAATTGAAAGCATGATGGACTCAAAGTGGGAAAATGTAAGCTTATGAAAGCACAGATCTACCATATTTGTGCATCTCCATAGCACCCAGCATAATGCTGTGTACCTGGCAGTTTCTAGATTAGTGAGCCTAGGAAACCACACAGACACCAGTGTGCTAGTATGAGAGTCTGCTCCTATAATCCTCACCGCAGAGAGGACATGATCATAATAATAGTGGCCTTTGGACTTTACCAGAGGATAGTAGTGCTCTTTAACAATAATTGGGTCTAGAAAAATTCTGATTTTATAGTATTCCATCAGATTCTTTTCATTTGAAGAAGTCTTGAATAATGGATGATTGGATTGCAAGGTTACAAAGTAAATATATTTCAGAGAGTTTAGTAAAACGTTTAAAATCAAAGAATAGGAAAATTCAGTCACTTGATTTTTATGCTTTGGGTATGTCATTGTTTGAAAGTCCACACTCTTCTACTTAACCATTTTGATAAGTGCCTTTGATGTATGGTGGAGATGAGCAAATGTAAATGTCGTGCGCCCTGTTCTCTTGCTTCTCCGTTCTTCATAACTATTCTTACAGTGTTGCAGAATTCAGAACCTTGTGTTCATATCAGATATGTATTTGTAGCCCCTCCAAAATCAACCGTAAAATAAACTATTTCATAGAAAACAAAATTAAGCACTTTGGCTTATTCACTATGTGTTACTTGTTGCCTTACCTTCAGAGCATAGCTCACTTCAAATATCTAGATGATCACCCTGATTTAACAGGCCCCAGCTTTCCAGCAGCATACATGAAGGGATAAATCAGAGAAGGAAAAAGTATTCTATCACCAAAAGCCATGCCCAATGCACAACCCATTGATGGAATCAAGGAGGAATTTCTCAGTGTAAAATCACTGAATCTCAACAGTGGACAAAAACAAGTGGTGGAATACTCATACTTTATTTACCTCAGTCATGTCTACTTGAAGGAGGAAGGAGGACAAAGATCTCTTAGACTTAGCTATCCCCAGTCAGAAAATCTGACATAGCCATCAGCTGCTTGGCCCTGCTTTGGAGACAAGCAGAGTGGGGTTCATGCTCTTCAGCCTCCCTCCGCCTAACACCGAGTTCAGTCTTTTCAGTACTCCAGCACGGTGTGGCAGGGGGCTGACATTGGAGGTGCACGGTGCCCCGAGATACATAGTCTCCACAAGGAAAGTGCTCTAGTTTGGAATGGAAATGGGAATGGGAAGCGCCATGATAAGAGCACTCTGAAGACAATAGTGCTGCATATAATCCAGTCGTTAAGTGTGAGAACCAGTCAGGAAGGTCAGATCCTTCCTGGATCCATCAGTCATGCTTGATGAATGCCTATTAAATGCTAGAAACTACTGTGGAGCCAGCCTGCTTTTCAGCTGCAGGTATAGGAAGGATTCTAACTGCTCGCCACATGTACAATGAGCAGGGCAAGGGCAGCGCACTTACCCTATGTATTGAGTAATGGGACTAGCCCTCATCTGAGGAGTCTTCAAGGATGCGCGTGGGGTCTGTGTAACAGGGAAAGACAGTGTCCTCTTGGATCCTCCCCAGCAACATGCAAATACGCTATTGTTTCTTCCTTCGTAATGACCGAAACCAACCCTTCCTCCACTCACCCTATCAGCTTCCACCATTATCTCTGCAAAGGTCTTTGGTAGAATTTGCCTATATTTGCTTCTGTAGTTCTCTTTCACTCGTTCTCTTAAACATATTAGCTGAGTCTCTGCTTCCACACTCCACCAGTCTCACTTTTGTCACAGTGCCACTACCTCTGCATCGCTAGACCTAGTAGTCCACTCTCAGCTCTCCTCGTCCCAGTGCGGCATCCTTTGATGCAGTTAATTGCTGTCTTCTTAATACACGTTTCCTGGACTTGGTGTCTTCCTACTTTCCTGGTTGCTCTTCTCCCCAACTTTTTTTTTTTCCTTTTCAGGCATTTTCTTACAATGATTGGTTTCAGAGGTAGAGGCCAGTGATTCATCAGTCTCATACCCAGTGTTAATTACATCCTGAGCCATCCTTAATGCCCAGCATCCAGTTACCCCATCCCCCTACCCTATCCCCTCCAGTGACCCTCAGTTTGTTTCCTATGATTAAGAGTCTCTTATGGTTTCTCTCCCTTTCTGATTTCGTCTTATTTTTTCCTCTCTTCCCCTATGATCCTGTTGTTTCTTAAACTCCACATATGAGTGAGATCATATAGTAATTGTCTTTCATTTATTTTGCTCTGGGTCTGCTCTCCACATACAATCTCCCCTGGAAATCTCACCTAATCTTACCTTTGAAATGGTATTTATGTGCTGACACCCCAAGTTTATGTCTCCCATTTAACTTTTGAATTCAGATTCATATCTAATACTCTACTTGACATCTTCATTATTACTCATTACAGATTTAGTATGTCCCAAACAGAATTCCAATTTGCTCCCACAGACCTACTCCATAAGCATTCCTTCCCATCTCAGGTGATGACAACTGAATCCTTCCAGTTTGCTTATGCCAAAAAACCAAAGTCATACTCCATTTCTCTCACAACCCATAACTAATTGGTCAGGAAATCCTTCTGGTTCTACCTTAAAATGCAGCATGAGGGGCACCTGGGTTGGGCTCCACGCTCAGTGGGGCATCTGCTTGGGATTCTTTCTCTCTCTCTCTCTCTCTCTCTCTCTCTCTCTCTCTGCCTCTGCCCCTCCTGCTGCTCTGTCGCTTGCTAGCTCTTTCTCTCCACCTCCCTCCTCCCTAAAATAAATATAAATAAATCTTTTTAAAAAAATTCAGCTCCCTCCCCTCCGGGGACCACCAGGTGCCACGCCGTGAACGTAATAGCTCTTCAAGTCTGCAATAAAAAATGGCCTCCAATAAAACTACATTGCAAAAAAATGGGAAAGAAACAGAATGGGAAGAGTAAAAAAGTAGGAGAGGCAGAGCCTGGAGAATTTGTGGTGGAAAAAGTATTGGACTGCCGTGTAGTGAATGGGAAGGTGGAGTATTTCCTGAAGTGGAAGGGATTTACAGATGCTGACAATACTTGCGAACCTGAAGAAAATTTAGATTGTCCAGAGTTAATTGAAGCATTTCTTAATTCTCAAAAAGCTGGTAAAGAAAAAGATGGTACAAAAAGAAAATCTTTAGCTGACAGCAAATCTGATGATAGCAAATCAAAGAAGAAAAGAGGTGCTGCTGATAAACCAAGAGGCTTTGCCAGAGGTCTTGATCCTGAATGAATAATTGGTGGAGCAGTGGAGAATTAATGTTTCTCATGAAATGGAAAGATTCCCATGAGGCAGACTTGGTGCTGGCAAAAGAGGCAAATATGAAGTGTCCTCAAATTGTAATTGCATTTTATGAAGAGAGACTAACTTGGCATTCTTGTCCAGAAGATGAAGCTCAGTAATTGTTTGCATTGCTTTTTATATATTTATATATATAATATATTTAATATATTAATATATAATAAATATATATTAATATATTAAATATATTTATATATAAAATCTGGGTCTTTGTTTTTTGGTTTATTAGTGTGAAGAAATAACATTCTAATGAAAATCAAGTTTGATATGTTTGTTTTGAAGTAGTATTGGGGGAGTTGTTGGGGTTTTTTGCATCTATAGCACTGGTTACTTTGAACAAATAAAAGCTTTCTGTAGTTGTTTCCTTTTTCAGAAAAGAATATTTGAGACCATGGTATATTATCCCCCTGCATCAGAGAACACCTTTTCTAAATGTTGGGGGAAATCTTCATAGTTGTTACTCAGTCAGAATTTGTGTTTAACTCCTATATGCCTAAGGACCATTCTGGGTTTTTTGTTTATTTAGGGCTTTTTGTGTGTATACTTAAAAGTACATACATAAGTGGTTTTCTTTTCTTTTTGTTATTTTTGAAACATTCACCAAAACAAAAACAGCATTTTATAACCACGGATAAGGCCATGTTTTTGGGATGCTATCATTTTCAGCAACTTAAGAAATAAATCACTTAAAGTTACATTGAAATTTTTCATGAAGCCTTAACCTTTCAAATATTGTAATTAATTGGACAATTTAAATATAATGTAGAGAGTTTAAATTGGACAATTTAAAAGCAGCCATATCAGAATTCATATCCCTAGTTACAGTCAAATAAATGCAAGTTTATTTGTAAGATCCCTGAAAGGAAAATTTTAATCACCACCAACAACCTCCCCATCCAAAGGGCAAAACTAGACAAGTTTTGGTGTACTTTAATTAGGTAAGCAAAACTTAGTTAAATGGATATTTAAAGGTTCCTTCTAGTGAACCATTCCTTTTCAAGAAGTTGAAAACCCTTGTGCTTTATTGACTAAAAGGTCATGATTCATGGAGTGTCTAAGACTTTGTTCATGGAAACCTAATCATAACCAGGTGGTTAGAAATGTTCGCAATTTAGCACCTGCTGGAATAAATGAGTGGACATACTTCTATATTCCAAATTCTTGACCTGCATGTTTTTTCTTCACCCCAACTCATTCCTAACATGTAGGCTCAATCTTCTCAGTATTTGAACTACTGGTTCAGCAGAAACCAGGAAAAACAATAACTTTGTGGTCAGAATGTTATCCAAATGTATATTGTTTACTTTATTGTAAATACTGGTAAACAGTGGTCAATAGTTTTATATTCAAAAAAATAAATAAAAATAAAAAATAATAATAATAAAAAATACAGCAAGACTCTGGCCAGTTCTCAGGCATCTGCTGTGACCACCTAGTCCTTTGTTTTATCATCATCTGTCACCCGCAATACTACAACCACTTTCCTACTGGTCTTTGTGCTTCTCCCATTTCTGCTCCCCACAGCTTATCTCCACAGAACATGGACAGGATTCTTTCAAAGTGTAATCAGATCATGTCTTTGCTTAAAACTCTCTAGTGGCATTCCATCTTCTTTAGAACACTTTTGGTGGCCTACAAGTTCTCTCATAATTGATCCCGAGTTCCTTTTTGTCCTCTTTGCCTGTTCCCTGTTCTGTGGCCTCCTCACTCTTCCTCAAACACAGCAGGCATGGTCCTGCCTCAGGATTTAGTGTCTACTGTGTCCCTGTCTGGAACATCCCACCTCAGAGACCTGTGTGAACAATTCCCAGGTTCTAAATCCTTTTCAATGAAGTCCCCTCAAGTCACCATCCAATCTCCCTATATTCTTCCAGAACAATGAACCCTGCCAACATTCTGCAGTTTATGATCTTTCTCCATCCATCCAAATGTAAGTGTCATGAGGAGAGAGGGTTTTGGTCTTGTCTGTTCGCCGATGTATTACATACTCCTCACTATGATTGCAGGTATCACACTGAGTGCTCAACTAGCTGTTGAATGGATGAGTTGACGACTATCCTGAAGAGTCAGAGCAAGGCCATGATTTTGAAAATGATGTACTACAGGAACTAAATGAATGTTTAGAGTACCTTAGCACCCATGAGAGGATGTAAGATATGACCTCCGTAATTTAGAAAGTTAGAAAGAGGGAAAAGGTGAGATGAAACAATTAAAGGAGTTGTAAAGACAGATCAGCTAGAAGGGGAGCACGTTTCAATAAGCAAGGATTGCCAAGAAACAAATTGCAATGCCAATACTAAGTCCTTTACTGAAGCAATAAATAGAATTGACTAAAGAATATCAGAGATATGGAAGAGA